CAACTCCACGGCGGACGCATTGGCGAAGCGTGGGGCTGCATATAATATGCCAGAGGACGAGCGCGTGGATTTCGTTCGGGGCTGCAGGGAGTTGCACAAAATGCTACTGCAGTACCTTGGGAGTTTTCAAGCGTGGCTGTATGATTGTAACGCTGAGGGCCTGGACTACCATTTCCCGTTGAAAGCAGATGAGGAGCAGGAGGCCCCTTTTCAGCAGTCCCTGACCGCCATGGTGGACAATGAGCCCCATTGTGAACTGGTCCTGGAAGACGAGCTAGACGGTTTCCCGGAGCCATGGCATGTGGCAGGGCACAGCCTAGTGGATTATCCGATGGTGGACTCGCCACATTTTATTCTGTTCTGTTCCACGTGCTGCCAGTATTTCTGTTCAGACTCCAAGAATCATCGAGGGCTGGCTCAGAAGTGTAAAGGCAAGCATGGAGGTGGCCGTGAAGTGGAAAACCGTCGGCACTAGGATAATCTCAGGCATCCACAGGCGATTCGAGCCCATGTTAGGCTCGAGCCTCCGCGGTCGCCATCTGGGCCAGCACGGAACATGGTCAGAATGACCAAGAAGTGGGAGCTGGAGTTGAGCAGCAGTGCAGTTCGGACCCCAATGAAGAAGCAGAGGCTCCTGGACACATCGCGCATCCTCCTGGCGTGCGGGCTCGAGTTTTGCGAGGCCGTGGAGCTAGGCCACATTCCTGAAGATGATGAAGATGACCAAGTCGGAGTGAGTGCGCAGCGTGGACTGTACACCGATCTGGAGCCATGATGTGGAGTTTGATCCTCGGTGGCTTCTACAACTTGTTCTGTTTTCAAATCCTGTGCCCTGCGGGCGGCAGGTTCGTTCGTCGCCAGGCTGGTGACTTCCGTCCGAGAATCTTGAGGTTGCAGCGTTGCTGGCCCTTGAATTCTCTAAGTGGCGGGAGCGCCAGTCTGCTTTGCCGTGGTTCGATCGAGACGCTGTTTTTTTTCCGCGCCCCCTTCGATTGCCACGTCGGCGGCGTTTTCCACGTGGGCATGGCGTTCGCTGCCGTGGCGCTGGACGGGGTGTGGTGGTTGCACCTGCTCAAGGCGCTGGGAGCCCTCGAGGAGCCCTTCGTCGCCTCGGCGGGCCTCGTGCGGGTGAGCACGGGCCTGCCGCAGGCCCCGTGCTCCCTGGCCGCCCGCGTCTGCTTTGAGGTAGGAACGGCCCCCACGCCCCGTCCTTGTGCTTGCAAGGTGGTCCTGGCCTTCGGGCTCCACCGTGTAGGTGCTGGGGGGGGTGGGGGTGTGAGGGTTGCTCCTCCCTCCCTGTCTCTGGATCCAGCTGCCCCTCGGCTTCCGCTCGCTCGCTCGCCCTCGGACTCCTCGTCCAGCTCCCGCTCTACCGGCTCCATCCGTCTGACGTTGTTGTGTGAGCGAGCTTCTCCGCGGGGGGATGGTCATACGATTGGAGAGGCCTGGCGGCCGGTGCCGCCGACTTTGATCAAAAGGGCTAGGAGTGAGGGGAGGAAGCGGAGGATGAGGAGGAGGAGGAGGAGGAGGAGAAGGAGGAGGAGCAGGAGGAGGAGGAGAAGAAGGCGGAGGAGGAGGAGGAGGAGCAGGAGGAGGAGGAGGAGGAGAAGGAGGAGGAGGAGGACGAGGAAATGCATCCTTTGTGTGCCCTCTCGAAGAAAGTGCGGCCCACGAATGTGATATTCTGACTTGGGACGTGCTCCCGGAAGAGGAAGAAGTGCATCTCGGGCGTGCCCGCTCGAGGAAAATGCGCCCTAGGGGGGTGGTATTTTGACTCGGGGCCCGCTCCCGGGACGCCTCTGCAGGAGGAGGAGGAGGAGGAGGAGGACGAGGAGAAGGAGGAGAGGAGCAGGATGAGGAGGAGGAGGAAAAGGAGGAGGAGGAGGACCAGGAGGAGGAGGAAGTGCATCCCGTGCGTGCCCGCTTGAGGAAAATGCGCCCCGGCGGGCGTTGTATCTGCCCCGGCCCCCCCCCCCCCCTGCGCGGAAGGGATCAAAGGGAAGGGGCTTCCCGTCGACTCCACTACGACGTCGTTTAATCTCGCTTTGGATAGCGCGCTTGAGGAGGAGAGCCCTGGGAGGGGAAGGACGGAGACGACGGAGACGACGAATCGAACGGAGAAGCCCCTCACACACGCCGACAGGGTCGGCGGATTAGTCTTCTTGAGCGTGTCGATGACGACCGCATTGCCAAGCTTGTGTGACCGCGGACAAGAGCCACCAGGACAGGATGCATTCGTTCTCATATTAGTCTTTCGCACCGAAGTGGCGGAAGGCCTTGGATGTGGATAGCATCCCGTTCGAGTGCCTGATCTTGGTGTGGGCTTTCGGTTGTTACTCAGACGTGCGATCTGGTCGGATCTGAGTCCTCCTGTTCCTCTCCTTGTCGTCTTCTTCCTCTGCGTTTTCGGCTCCCTGCTCGGCTGCCTCACCCTCCTTCCTCCATTTCCTCTTCCAGCGCCTGCTTTACCAGCTCCGTCCGTCTGACGTTGTTGTGTGAGCGAGCTTGTCCGTGGGAGGATGGTAATACGACTAGTCATTCTTGAGCGTGTCGATGACAACCTGGCACGCGACCCAGACACGCTCTTGCCGCCTAGGGCCGTCTATGACCCATTGCCGTATTGGGTCCAGATTGTCGGTTATGTTGAGATGTGTCTTCAGGATGGACCTGACATACCAGCCAGACCACGGGTTGTTTGTGACCGATGTGTGTTCCCGGGTCCAGGAGTGATTGAGTTGGAAAGATTAGCATCGCGGCCGAGCCCAGCACGCCAGAGGCTGAAAACATATTTTGGCCGCCGCCAGGGCCCGTTCGCCCGCTCTTCCTCTTATTGGTTTTTAGTGGGCACCAGCATAGCTTACCGTAATATCGACGGAGCGGTCGAGGCCGATGGCTCCATCGAAGATGGGCTCGGCAACGCTTGGGTTGGTGATCCTGAGTTGTGGTGCAGACGTCTGGGGAACTACAGGTGCCGTGCCTGTGGGGCCGGGCTACCAGTCGTATTGAGGCGTCTCTTGGGTATCTCGGGGCGGGTGGTGGGCGCAGGTGTGCCCCCAGCGCCGTGGCTCGCGCCCTGAACTCCGAGCTTTTCAGGACGTCCTCTGAGCAGCGGGGCCCTCTCAGTGACCCCCGCACTGCCTCTGTCCTCGCTGCCGCCGAAGCCTCTTTAGAGCCTCTTGGGGCGGAGCCCCCTCTGGAGCCCCCGCCTGCTTACCAGCCTCGAACGTATCCCTATCCCTAAGATTGACACGCCAAAAGGCGATGACAATCTTAGGGATCCGCCCTTAAAAAACAAGGGAATCCCTAAGATTGGCATCGTGATGAGGAGGTGCCCAGCATAGGGATAGGGATATATTCCAGGCTGGTAGCCTGCAGCCTCGGAGGCTGCCGCGGATCCGCCGCTGCAGCTGCAGCTGCAGGTCCGCTCAGCTTCAAGCGGAGGTGCCGACGCCCTGGTTGCGGAGTTTCGGGCTCTCGGGCGCGACGTGGTCTGTATGATTTGTTCGGTTCGTTGCCGCCGCCGCTGCGCCGGTCACTGTCATTCGGGTCCTGTGCGTTCCAAACAGTCGGACCGAGGTATACAATCGAGGTCGGTTTGGGGAGGGTGCCTTAGTGTTCTTCGTGCTTGTTGGATGTTCTTGTGCATTCTGGGGAGGGTAATCCTTGGATCTTCTCGTTGTTTTGGCCAACGGAGAGTCTCATGTTCTTGAAGGATGCTCTTCGGGTCTAGGTCCGATTGTAAGGAAGCTCCGAGCATTGTGCGCTGGGCCCTCAGGGAACCCGAGCACGCGACGGAACCAGCTCACGGCCGCGGAGAGGATCGGCCGTGGGCTCCCCCCCCCGCCAGAGAGGAAGGTCGGCCTGGGGTTTGCCCTGGGTCCTACAACCCTCTGGCGGGCGTTCATGGCCCAGGACCTTCAGTACTTAGCGGAGGTCTTTCTCGGGCCCCGCTCTCCCTGAGCATATATTCTGTCGGGTATAGCCAGGACGCCAGGTAAGGGGACCCGGTTAGTAATAGGGCCCTGGAGCCCCTAAACTTGCCAAAATCACTAAACCAGGTCTGCCGTAGTTGGTGTTTTTTTCGGGTGACGGCAGCTCCGGTTGGTGAAATGGGGCGGGGGCGGGCGTCCCCCGGTACACATCACTAAACCAGGTCCCACTGAACCCAGTTTTGCCAACGCCCGATTCTGGTCGTCGGGCCCTTTCAGGCGTTTCTTCTGTTTGTCCTGAGGTGTGGTCGCTCGTCGGACGCACTCTTGGCTCGTTCGCTCGATCCTCCTCCTCCTCATCCTCCTCCTGCCCCCTCCTCCTTCTCATGCCCTCTCTTCCTTTTCCTCCTCCTCCTGCCCTCCTCCTCCTCCTCCTCCTCCTGCCTTCTCTTCCTTTTCCTCCTCCTCGTTCCCCCTCAGGGGACGAGGGAGGATCGTCAGAGGAAGAGTTGGTACTGATATCGCTGCTCATCCTGGAGAATCCTCGGCGCCGCCGCTAGATTCGCGCAGACACTCTAGTCGGATGGCGCCCCAAGGGAGGTCCGTGGAGTAGCGGTATCGATATCATGCTGTTTCCCCAGGTCGGGTTGGAAACGTTCTGCGTACCCTCGCCCTTCGCCGCAAAGACATGACACATAACATGGTATACCTTAGTCATCCTCTGTGCTTCGTGCTCTCCATCTGGCCGCAGCTTCGGGGTGGGCATGAGGTGCACCTCTTCCCCCCTCTCTGTTGCAGGGAGGAGACGGCGGAGGACACGGCAGTCAGGGCAGGTGTTCCACCGATTCTTCTTGGGTGAACGATTGCAGTGAGTCAGCGGACCATCCCAGGTATTCGTGCACAGCCGCATGGCGTACAAATGTGCAGGCGAATTGGTGGTTCAATTTCGTGGCACGGACAGCAGGGGGCGGCACCGTAGCAGGAGCGGCACTGATACCGGCGTGCGTGCTCATGTGAACGGAAGCCGTAGACGAGCGCGGCCGTCTTCGAGCGCGCTTCGAAACACCTGCCAGGACATGCTGTTCTCTGCGGAGGTCAACATGGAGGCACGGCCTGGGCAGGGGCAGTGCTCCCGCACTGTGGCACATGCTCGTGATCTCTACTCTGTCGGGGCGGGCGGGCAGCAGCAGCATGATGGAGGCGTAACCGGCAACAGGAGGAGGAGGAGGACGAGGAGGAGGAGGAGGAGGAGGAGGAGGAGGAGCGGGGGCGGAACGCACCGCTGTTCTCCAAGAAACACACGGCATTCGCAGAACTGCTTTGGTGGGTTTCTTTTCCCTTGCCACCACCATAAGTAGGAGGGGGAGGGGGTTCTCCTCCTCCCTCCTCCTCCTGCTCCTCCTCCTCCTCCTCCTCCTTCCCCCCTTCAACTTATGTTGGTGGTTGTGGAGAACAGGCCCATCATGCTCGGCGGTCCGCGCAGATTTCGTGGATCTGCGCTCGAGCCCCCTAGGGGTTCAGCGCAGATCCGAGAAAGCTACGCGGCCTTCCAACATGTTCGTGTTCAGCTGCAGTTGTGTATGTTCGTGTTTTCCGCGCTATTCGAGCGGGGGGCCCGCTGCCGAGGCCATAGACCAGGTTTCCCCCCGCGGGCGCGCAAAGCTGACCGCGCGTCGCGGTCGGGGTCCTCGTCTTCCTGCTCCTCCTCCTCCTTTTTCTCCACATTCTCCTTACATACTCTCTTTTTCCGCGTCCTCCTCGTCTCCTGTTTACCCTTCCTGCTTCCCCCTCCTTTCCCAAGATAACGGCAACGCAATCCTTTTTTTCTCTGCTTTATGCTCCCTGACTTCTCTGATCAAGACAACTCGCCAGGGCAAAGTTGCTGGACGGGCCGGTGTGGATGCGCGGAGCTTGAAGAGGTCGTTGCGGGCTCAGACGGCATGCAAAAATCCGCCGCCGCGCTTGTGCGGCATTGGTTTGTTCAGTGAACGTGGTTTGGGTCGCGGGTGGGTCGCGGGCCCCCCACCTCCACCTGGAAGGAATGCGCAACAAACCCGCCGCAAACGCAGAATTTGCCTGACAAGGGACCCAACCAGATGCAGGTGTGAGTACCGCAATAGTGATTCACTTTTCCGGTGGCGATCCCTATGAGGCAACGAGCCGTGCTAGAGGTGTGCCGACATGAGTGGCGTGGTACACAAAGGAACGAAAACGATTGATCTGAGTACGTAGGGGGACTGAACACGGGTGAATCTGCGCGCGTGTGCGTCTGATCTGCGTGCGAGCGAGTCTACGTGCATGAGTGCGAGTATGACAAAACATGGTGCAATTGTATATGAATGTCAATAGTTTGACAACTGCTGCCTCTGAGTATTCGTGACGCTGGGCGTGGCCGCCGCAAGGAGCTTCCCCAGGAGTGCCGACGGCATCGCCCGCGCGCCGCGACGCCAATGTCGGCGCGCCCCCCCGCGAGCATCGCGTCCGCTTCCTCCCCTTCCTTTACTCCCTCTTTGCCCGCGCACTCAAAAGTCCAAGGCTGCGGGCGCAGCGCAGCGCGGAGTCCCCGCGACGCGCGCAGGTCGCCCCGGAGGGGTCCCACCGACGCGCCGGGGTCGTCCACTGCGCGGAGCAAAGAGAGCTAGCCGGCTGGCTGATAGCGGGCACGGCTGTTGCCGTTGGGCAGAGCGACGACGGGCGAGCGAGGCGACGGGCAGAGCGCAGCGCGGCCTCCGCGACGCGCGCAGGTCGCCCCGGAGGGGTCCCAGCGACGCGCGCGGGTCGTCCGCTGCGCGGGGCAAAGAGAGCTAGCTGGCTGGCTGGGACTCGCGGTGGGGCTCCATATGGGGCCACGTAGCGCTGCGCTGGGTAAGGGAGACGCATGCGGACTGCGCCACGGGGACTTCTGGTGGAGTTCCCTATGGGGCCACGAAGCGCGTGAGAGGTGTGCCGAAATGAGTGGCGGGGACGCATGCAGACTGTGCCATTGGGACCTTCGGCGGAGCTCCTGTGGGGCCACGAAACGCGCGAGGGGTGTGTTGGAATACGTGGCGGGGGCGCATGCGGACTGCACCACGGGGACCTTCGGTGGAGTTCCCTATGGGGCCGCGAAGCGTGTGAGGGGTTTGCCGAAATGTGCGGCGGGAACGCATGCGGACTGCGCGACTGGGACCTTCGGCGGAGCTCCTGTGGGGCCACGAAACGTGCGAGGGGTGTGCCGACGTGAATGGCGGGAACGCATGCGGACTGTGCCAAGGGGACCTTCGGCGGAGCTACTATGGGGCCGCGAAACGTGTGAGGGGTGTGCTGAAATGAGCGGCGGGACGCATGCGGACTGCGCCACCGGGAACTTCGGCGGAGCTCATATTGGGCCACGAAACGTGTGAGGGGTGGGCCGACGCGAATGGCGGAAACGCATGCGGACTGTGCCACTGGGACCTTCGGTGGAGCTCCCATGGGGCCACGAAACGTGTGAGGGGTGTGCCGAAATGAGCGGCAGGGGCGCATGCGGACTGTGCCACTGGGACCTTCGGCGGAGCTCCTGTGGGGCCACGAAACGTGTGAGGTGTGTGCCGACATGAGTGGCGGGGACGCATGCGGACTGTGCCACTGGAGCCTTCGCGGCGGAACCCCATATGGGGCCACGAAACGTGTGAGGGGTGGGCCGACATGAGTGGCGGTGGCGCATGCGGACTGTGCCGCTGGGACCTTCGGCAGAGCTCCTATGGGGCCGCGAAGCGTGTGAGGGGTGTGCCGAAATTGGTGTGCGGGACGCATGCGGGCACACCCATTGGGAGTTTCGGTGGAGCTCCCTATGGGGCCACACAACGTATGAAGGGTGTGCCGAAATGGGCGTGCGGGGCGCATGCGGGCACACCCACTGGGACTTTCGGTAGTTCCCTATGGGGCCACGAAACGTGTAATGGGTGTGCCGAAATGGGTGTGCGGGACGCATGCGGGCACACCCACTGGGACTTTCGGTGGAGCCCCCTTATGGGGCCACGAAACCTTTACTGGGATTTTCGGCGGAGCACCTCATGGGGCCACGAAACGTGTGAGAGGTGTGCCGACATGGGCGTGCGGGACGCATGCGCGCACACCCACTGGGACCTTCGGTGGAGTTCCCTATGGGGCCACAAAACGTATGAAGGGTGTGCCGATATGGGTGTGCGGGACGCATGCGGGCACACCCACTGGGACTTTCGGTGGAACTCCCCATGGGGGCCACGAGACGTGTGAGGGTTGTGCCGAAATGGGTGTGCGGGGCGCGTGCGGGCACACCCACTGGGACCTTCGGCGGAGCCCCCTTATGGGGCCACGAAACGTGTGATGGGTGTGCCGAAATGGGTGTGCGGGACGTATGCGGGCACACCCAGTGGGGCCTTCGGTGGAGCTCCGTATGGGGCCACGAAACATGTGAAGGGTGTGCCGAAATTGGTGATGACGACAACGATGATGATGATGATGATGATGATGATGATGATGATGATGATGATGATGATGATGATGATGCTGATGCTGATGATGATGATGATGGTGATGGTGATGATGATGATGATGATGATGATGATGCGGATGATGATGAGGATGATGAGGATGATGAGGGTGGGAGGAAGAGGGGGGCAGCGGGAGGAAGGACGCGGGGCGCTGTCTCTTCCAAACCAGGACCCAACACCACAGGATGGTTGGGAACAATTGGTTTGTACACTGAACGTGGTTTGGGTCGCGGGTGGGCCGCGGGTTCTCCACCGGGAACGAACGCAAAGGACGCCAACAGCAGGCGCAAAAACATTTGGTTTGTACCCTGAACGTGGCAGCGGGTGGGCCGCGGGCTGTCCGCCTGAAGCGCATGCAAAAAATGCCCGCCGCAGACGCCGAAAAATGTGGTTTGTACCCTGCACGTGGTTTGGGTCGCGGGTTGGTCGCGAGTTGATCGCGGGGTGGGTCGCGGGCTTTCGAATTGGAAAGAATACAAAATAAACCCGCCGCAGGCGCCGAAAATGGCGGTTTGTACCTTGAACGTGGTTTGGGTCGAAGGTGGGTCGCGTGTGGGTCGTGGGGTGGGTCGCGGGTGGGTCGCGGGTGGGTCGCGGGTGGGTCGCGGGTGGGTCGCAGGTGGGTCGGGTGGGTCGCGGGTGGGTCGCGGGTGGGTCGCGGGTGGGTCGCGGGTGGGTCGCGGGTGGGTCGGGTGGGTCGGGATGGGCCGCGGGCGGGTCGCGGAGTGGGTCGTGGGTGTGGGTCGCGCGGGTGGGTCGCGGGTGGGTCGCTGGTGGGTCGCGGGGTGGGTCGTGGGGTGGGTCGCGGGGTGGGTCGCGGGTGGGTCGCGGGTGGGTCGCGGGTGGGTCGCGGGGTGGTTCGCGGGGTGGGTCGCGGGGTGGGTCGCGGGGTGGGTCGCGGGTGGGTCGCGGGTGGGTCGCGGGGTGGGTCGCGGGGTGGGTCGCGGGTGGGTCGCGGGCCGGGTTGCGGGTGGGACGACGACAACAAACAACAACAACAACAACAACAACAACAACAACAACAACAACAACAACAACAACAAACAACAAACAACAAACAACAAGCAACAACAACAATACCCCGCACCGCGGAATCCCACTTCAGCCACGCACCCAGGGACAGTGAATGACCGTTCGGCCCCCTCACTCTGATATAGACCTGATACAAATATATAAAATATGATAGATTGATTCGGTTATTTGTTTCGTGGCTTCTTTGTTAGCGGCAGGCCGGGTTCATTGCAAATCGACCGCCCCCCCCCGTTTCCCCCAAGTTCCCTTATCACCCGAAGGTCGGTCTTATCGGTATATGTGCACATGCAAGTATATGTATATATGACAATACATATCCACCGCCCGCTGGGGTCCCAGGACGTCGGGCCCCCAGGCGGTGGAGATGGACACATCGACGCCTCGCAATTACTGAGGCGACGGAGCGAACGCGGCAGCCTGGCCAGCCACTTTCCCGTCGTTGCTATCGTCGTTGTCGTCGTCCACTGCCGTCCACAACTACCCCCCTGCGCATCAGGCGTCGCCCTTCGCGTCCTCCTCCTTTTCCTCCTTTTTTTCTTCCTCCTCCGGTTCGTCGCCGTCGCCTTTAACCAGATTGCTCAGGGCTAATCCGCCGATTGGAGCAGGGGCGCGTGCTTCACCCGAACCCGACGCAATTCGTCGTCGTCATCATCATCTCTTCGTGGCACAATGGCGTGTGGCATGTCGTATTGCCTCGGTTGAGTATGGCATTCGTTGGAAAGGCAGCATCGTGTGTTAGCAGTTCTGAGCCTGTCGGGGCTACGGCCCCTCCGCCTGCTCTTTCGATGGTCGCCTCTCGGTGCGGGAACGGCTGTCTCTTCTAGTCTCGTCTTGTTTCATCATCGTCGACGTCCTCATCTGCCGTCGTCATCTTTGTCTTCCCTGCACACCCGACGCCGAGCCCGACAGCTCTTGCACCAAGGCGAGGCCTCTCGGCTACCTGTGGGGCTGCCCATGGCGAATCTCTCGCCACCCTCGCTGGCTCCTGGGAGGCCCAGCGGACTGGGGTGACATGCGATATCCAGTCGAAACCTCTTTCGCCGAAGCGTTCAGGGATATTGCAGGCTCCTCTGTGTGTGTTTTTGCGTTGAGCGATGCTGCTTAATGCTCGTGTTTAGAAGGGGTTGCCCTGTGCCTGAGGTTGCCTTCGCACTCCTCGTGGCGACGAGTCTGTAGCAGCAGCTCACTTCGCTCAGCAGCAGCCCTGTCGTAGCTTGACCGCAACTTCGACCCAGGGCGCCGCCGATCAAGAGTTCAGAAGGGGCTGGGTGGAGGGCTGGGCGAGGGAGGAAGAAGGGGAAACGGGGGAGAAGGAAGGGCGGGAGCTGGGGGCGGAGGTGGCGGCGGGGGACGACGGGGAGCGGGAGGAGGAGGACAAGAGACGGGGGAGGAGCTGTAGGCGGAGGAGGCGGAGGAGGAGGAGGAAGAGGAGCAGGGGGAGGAGGAGGAGGAGGAGGGGGAGGAGGAGGGGGAGGAGGAGGAGGAGGTGGGGGAGGGGGAGGGGGAGGGGGATGGGGGAGAGGGGGAGGGGGGGGGAGGGGGAGGGGGAGGGGGAGGGGGAGGGAGGAGGAGGAGGAGCAGGAGGAGGGGGAGGAGGAGGAGAGGAGGAGGAGGAGGAGGAGGAGGAGGAGGAGGAGGAGGAGGATGAGGTGGAGTTGGGATACGTCCCAGCACCTGTCTTCCGCCCGCGTGGGGCTCCCTCTGCGGCGGCGATCGGCCCGCCTGCGGCGTGGGACGCTCTGGCCCGCGGCGGTGGGTCTCGCCCTTCGCTCGGAGCCGCCGCCGGCGGTCTTCCTCGGCGCCGACGGCGGCGGCTGCGGTGACGGCGCTGGGCTCCCAGGGCGCCCTCCTGTGGGGGCAAGGGGGGGATAGGCATAGGGGGGAATGCATCGACCCCCCATCGCCCATAGATCACCGAGGGGGGCCCGATAGTCCCACCCCGCCCAGGAATGTGTGGATCCTCTATCGGGGCCTGTCGCCGATCCATCGGCGATGTATCGCCGATTCCAGGTCGATGTTTCCCCCCTATCGTTGCCCTCACTCCTGCGCCTCCTGCTGCTCCTGCTTGCTGCTGCTTGCCGCTGCTAGTGGCTGGCATTCCGACCCAGCTCGCACCGGCGTCTGGGGCACCTTCCTGGCTTTTGGCAACGCGGGTCGCGAGAGTGCGAGAGACGAGCACGGCGAGCCATCTCATGTGCAATCACTGGCACGATTTGAATCAGATGACGATTCCCGGTCCTCCTCCTCCTCCTCCTCCTCCTCCTCCTCCTCCTCCTCCTTCCTCTCGCTCCTCCCTGTCCCTCCTCACCCCTCGCCTTCTCCTTCCCTCATCCCTCCCTGTTCCTCCTCCCCGTCCCTCCTGCTCCCTCCGTCTCCCGCCTTCCTTCTCCCGCCTTCCTTCTCCTCCCTCCTCCTCCCTTCCCCTCCCTCCCTCCTCCTCCTCCCTCCTCGCCCCTCCCCTCTCCTCCGTCCCCCCTCCCTCGCCTCCCCCCCCCTCCCCCTCCCCTCCAACCTTTCTCCTCCTCGCGGGCCCCGCGGCCCCGCCCGCCGCCCCCGCCGCCCGGAGCGGAGGCGGTGCCGCAGAGCGCGCTGCAGCAGATCTGCAGCGGGCGCCCGCCAGGGGGGGGGGGGGGGCGCGCGGGGCGGCGGGGCGGCGGCCGCCCGACGACGAAGAAGACGACGACGACGCCGACGACGACGACAGAGGAGGGGGGGGAGGAGAGGGGCGTAGTGAAAGCGATAGAACACGAGGGTGTTTCAGAGCGTGAATTACCTCCCCCGCTTTCGCTTCCAGGCCAAACCAAGTCATACCACGCGCCTCCTCGTCAAGCGACCTGACCAGTACATGCCGTAGTTTGGCATCGCTTGGTATCTCTTGGAAGCGAAGGTGGTCAAAAGCGAGGTAGGTTTGTTTGCCCCCTAGTGTTGCTCGCTGTCGCTGCCATTTTCAGCCTGTGGGGGCCTCGCCAGGCCCCGGGGCCGTCAGGAGACGACTGAGGATGAGAAGCCGGTCCCAGGGAATGGGTTCCGACCTCTTGGGGTCCACGTTGGGCCATGGGCCAACGTCGGGGGGGGGGAAAGGTTCAGGGGCAACGTTTGAAGGTTTTCGAATGCTTTTGAGGGATGCCGTTTTCCAATGTTTGCGAGGGATGCCTTCCAGCGGCTGCACCTCGCCGAGGGCGCTCCGCGGGTGCCCGGATCGCCCCGAACGGCCGCTGGATTCGGGTTATGCTCCGGAAGCCACAGTGGCAACGTCAGGGGGGGATGGCTCCCCAGACCTTCCAGGAGGGCTAAGAAATAGCACCCGACTTAAAAACCTATCCCAGAGCTATTCTACGTCTTGGTTTTAGGCTGTTTCGCTCAGCTTTTTAGGTTTTTAAATCTCCAGTGATAAAAAATAGCTCTCTGGAAGGTCAGGGTCAGGGGGGGGATGTGCAGGGCACATTTCGACTCCTCCGATTCGATTCGATTTCGATTGCCTCCGATTCCGATTCCGATTCGACTTCGGGTTCCGACGTGCAGTCCGATGCCTTAGTGGAGAGGCCCTATGGCCTGCCGATCTTTGCCGATTCGACCTCTCCCGACGTGGCCGCCGATCTCCGCCGACCAGCCACGCGCAGAGGGGGTGGGGGGAGGGGGGAGGGCTGCTTAGAAGCACCCCTGCTTCTTAGAAGTCGCGGGCCTTCTCTGTAGATGCAAGGCGGGCGCCTTCTAAGAAGCAGCCTCCTTCCAAGACGCCCTCCCCGCCCCCTCCACCCCCTTGTGCGCGTCGCCAAGCCGATCCGATCCTTTCGGATCGCCGATCCGACTCGTCGGTTCGATCCTGGGCTCGCCTGGACGTGTCGACCCCCGATCGCCAAGAGCATGTTTCTTTATTGCTTGGGGCATAATGGGCATTGCAGCCCCCTCCCCCCCCTCCCCCCCCCCCTATAACCTAAACCCCCCTCCCACCCAAGCGCGCTCCGGGCACCGCCGCCGCGCGCATCGGGCACACGGCGGGGGAGAGAAATTACACTATACCCCCCCCCCGGCCCCCCCCCCCCTATAATGCCCACTATCGCCGAAAATGCAGAAACGCGCTCCAAGTGATCACTGGCACTAGGTCGGGCATGTCTCCCTACAGGCGGGTTTTGGACGAAAAAGAGAGATAGTCAAACCATGATCAAACAGTGTCGGGGAATGCCAGAACAATCGTCCCCGGGTCATTTTGCATCCTTTTTGGGTATCCCTCCTGTGGAGGGACGTGCCCGACTCAACGCTGGCAGGGCCCTGAGAGGAGCCCACCCGTTGGGCCCGACCGAGAGAGCCCACCCGGCCCTGGGAGAGCACGGGTCTCGCTCTCGGGGGCCTGCCGCTGACCCAGGCGTGAGGTATCGCCGACGCCAGCTCGATGCTGCAGTGAAGTCGGGCCTGTCCCTCCACAGGAGAAATACAATTTCCACATAAAAAGCAGGAAATTACTCCGACGGAAGGACCCCGCATGAGAATCCTCTGGGCGAATCTGGAAAAAGCCCTCACCCGTCGTCCTCGTGGTTGGTGAGGCGTCCTGGCTGTCTCTTCTGCGTATAGTTCTTCTCGCCCTGGCGCGGGCCCTCCCCCCGCTCCCTACGTTGCCCCCGACCTCGCCCTCCTGTTTTGGCTCCGGGCATTCAGAAAGTGGCCCGGTAGTGGTGTTCTGGGAACACGGAGAACACGAAGTGGCCTACAGTTGGCTCCGGGCATTCAAAATGTGGCCCAGGAATGGTGTTCTGGGAGCACGAAGAACACGAAGTGGCGTACAGTTGGCTCCGGGTATTCAAAATGTGGCCTGGGAATGACGTTCTGGCAGCGCGAGAGCCCAAAAATGGCGACAGTTACACGAATTGGATGACCCGCTCGGATTAGTAACATGATCCGCGGGCCCCATAGGGAGGGGGCTCCCGCTTGAGACTTCCTCGCAATTCACACAAATGTGGCCTGGGAATGGCGTTCTGGCAGCGCGAGAGCCAAAAGTGGCGATAGTTACAGGAATTGGATGACCCCTCGGATTAGTAACATGATCCGCGGGCCCCATAGGGAGGGGGCTCCCGCTTGAGACTTCCTCGCAATTCACTCACAGACGAGGCCCAAGGCGAGTGAGTAAGTGAGTGAGTGAGTGAGTGAGTGAGTGAGTGACTGACTGACTGACTGACTGACTGACTGACTGACTGACTGACTGACTGACTGGTGATGATGATGATCATCACACTCTCTCACGCGCACACTCATCATCATCATATGTGAGTGCTGATGAGTGAGTGAGTGAGTGAGTGAGTGAGTGAGTGAGTGAGTGAGTGTGTGAGGAATGATGAGTGAGTGAGTGAGTGAGAAATGAGTCATGATGATGATGGTGGGTTCCTGTTCCTGCGCGGGGTGTCCAGAGAAAACAAGAACCCCACTTTGGATGTCGGGAAAAATAGCCTGGCGAAGGATCCGACCATATGCAGTTGCGAGCACCGTCGTTGTATGCACCGCGTGCGGAGGAGCTCCCTGTAAAGGGCCACGAAGCGTGTGAGGAGTGTGCCAAA